TGAACAATCTCGCCCCGACAAAGCTCTTCCGCGTGTTGAAGTGGCCCCGGATGAAGCAGCAGAGAGAGAAGAAGCTGAAGGAGTACCTACATGGCTGCAGTGCCTTTTTCGACAACAGGCTGACAGGCTTTTCCTTGCAAGCTGCGCAGAAGGAGCTGGTTACGTGGGCGCCACTGATGCTGAGCCACCATGCCGACGAGGGATTCCATCAAGGCCTGACGAACTACCTCGGCTCGACGGAGTCGACCTTGTGAGAGACTGCTGTTCGAAGGACGATTGTTGCATGTTTCCTTGCCGGTTCTAAACTTCCCATTGAAAGTTGTTGTTCATCGCTTGTTGACTAGTTGCACTAATGCACTGCTCTTGTTCTTTGCACTCTGTTCCCCCAACCCTTTTGGCAGGCAGTGGCCCAACCTCATGCGCTTGTGGCAGGCGTGCGCTGTCGTGCCGCTTAGCACAGTGGAGTGTGAACGAGGCTTCTCGCGGCAGAACGTCATCAAGTCATGGGTGCGGGGCGCATTGTGCAATGCGCGCCTAAGCGAGCTGATGGTCATTTCCCTGCTGCAGTATGAGATTGATTGGGACGAGGCCCTTGAGTGTTGGCGCGAGAAGCTGAGGCGCCCTGCTAAGTCTGTTCTGTTTGCCTCAGCGGAGAGGAAGCGTAAGGCCAAGGCGATTGAGGGGGCAGAAGGGAGGGTGGAGGAGGAGGCAGTCCCCGACTACATGGGGGATTGAGCAGAGGATGAGGGAGAGGAGGGGGTAGAGGGGGGAGAGGCTCCTACTGAAGTGGAAGACAACCCGTTTCTGTCCGATGACGACGCAGAGGACGATCTGAACATGGATGGCCCAGAATTTTAGTTAACGGTAGCTAGTGGCGTGGAATCATGTAAAGTGTAGACTAGATAGAGGACTTAACTGAATTTGTAGACTGGCGTAGTGGTGCTTTTGCTAAACTACTAGTAGCTGTACAATCCTAAACTGATTTTTTGCAAGTGCAAAGCAACCCTGTTTGTGGCTAGCCAACCCTAAAGGTTTCAGGGTTGCATGTTCCAGAATACTGAGAAATCAGGGAAGCCAAAATTTCAACACAAGGCCCTTAGGGTAAATTTTTTTTCCCATTCGACAGCTCAGGGTGCTTTTTTTTAAAACGTCAGCCCTGTCACCAACCTCCTCTCTCTCATTGTCTTGACACATGCACTTGCTTCTCCTTGCCCTTGTCGCTCCTTGGGCCGACACATGACTGCTCCTTCTTCCTGCTGGGACGGCGCTTCTTGGTTTTGCGCCACAGGTCAACAACTGCGTCCCAATCCATTTCATAGTCTAGCATGCTCATGCACATGAGATCTGACAGCTTGCCGTTGCAGAGACTGGTTCGTTGCCTACTTTTGATCAAATTTTGCCTGCTGAAACCTCACTCACATTCGACAGTGCTGATGGGGAGAACAGCGACAGCCACCCACAGGCGAACCAAGTTGGGGTAGCTCTGTTAAATTATATATGCTAGTATACAATTGTAGGCTTGGTAATGGTTACTGAACATTTTTTTAGAGAGTACAACACCCCTCCTTGTATCCCTCTTTCTTTTCTAGTTCTCTTTTCTCTCCTCAACTTTCCTAGCACCTAAAACCTCTCGCCATTTCCATGGCTCCTCCTCCTACCTAGATCCTAGTTTTCAGACATGGTAACAGAGCAGGTTCCCTTCCCGGGCCTGCTCCCCTCGCTTCTGCCGCGCACTCCCTCCCCGTCATGCCGCGCTGGCCCTGTCGCGCCGCGCTGGCCTCGTCAATCCGCGCTGGCCCCGTTGCGTCGCACGGGCCACGCTTCCGCCGCGTACCCGTCCTTACTTTGCCGCCGTCGTGGCCTTTCGTTTGCCTGCCGCCGTGGCACATTTTCCGAGATGCCGCGGCGGCCTCTGTGTGCTGTCGTCTCAGCGTTGACGAGCAGCTGCGGCCCCGACACCACGCTGTGGTGGCGTCGTAGTGGTGCCGTGGCGGTGTCGTCGGCCTGTTGCCGTCGCGCACCATCTGCGTCGCTGCTGGACTTGCAGCCCGCCCACACGTCAATAAGCGCTGCGCCAGCAATGGCGCTGCGCTGAAGATCCGAAGCCCCGCCCCTTCCCCCTTCCCTCTGTCCCCTCCTCTTTGCCACCGCCGTCGCCTGACTCTTGCCGGTCATCCCCCTGTCGCGGAGTTTGGACACGCTGCCGGAAGGGCGGGGGCCGCTGCCGTTACCGCTGTCGTAAGCCGAAGCCATCGCCGTCACCGCTGTCATCGCCGCAGGCCTGTTGCCGCCGCACGCCCGTCGTCGCCGTCGCTGTCGCCGCTGCCTGGACGGCCGCCGTCGCCATCTCCAGGGCCTTGGGGTTGGGCCCTGCTGGAGTAGTCGTGGCTGATGGGAATGAGGGTGCTAGGCTAAGGGGTGTGGGGGTGTGTGGGTCCTTGCTACCAAGCCTAGGGGGTTGTGTTAAATTATATATGTTAGTATATAACTATAGGCTTGGTAGTGGTTACTAAACATTTCTGTAAAGGGTACAACAGCCCTCCTTGTATCCCTCTTTCTTTTCTAGTTCTCTTTTCTCTCCTCAACTTTCCTAGCACCTAAGACCTCTCGCCATTTCCATGGCTCCTCCTCCTACCTAGATCCTAGTTTTCAGGCAAGCTCTTGGGCCAGTCACTAGTCTGCAGCATGGCCGCCAGGCCATCATGAAAGCTGCGCACTCCACGTGGAGCCCCTTGTAGCACGGGCACCAAGGTCTTCAGCTCTTTCCTTGCTGCTCTCTTGTCCACTCGTGCCACACATACAGCACAAGAGAATAAGTGAAGAAGTACCAGGCTTCCACAGCCTGGCAGCAAGCACAAAGCAAGCACAAAGCCAGGGCTCTCGGTTCAAGGGTAAAAATCCGGAATGTCAGGTACATTCCGGGTCTTTCCCGCTGAAATCCTGATTTGGAGGGTTTCGGATTCACAAACCTCCTGACTGACTCCGGGTGTTTCCAAGGAACTCCCTGAGCAATCCGGATTGCGCAAAAATTTATCCTGGCCATCCGACTGGCATGGAAACTACGCGTGCTGGAATTGCAACCCTACCCCCCCCCCCCCCCCCCCCCCCCCAAATCCAGGGCTTCACAAGTCAGGACAAAATGCCCTGAAATGCTGTATATTAGGGTGTTTTTTTAGGGTTGTCCTATTTTTTCAGCTTTTGATTTTTCCTAGGCCTGAATTTTTGGGGTTGTCATTTGAGCAGGCCTGAAATATTGTATGTTCTTGTTTTGGTCACCCTGAATTATCAGCCTTAACGGATTTCCTGCCTGAAACAGAATCCTATCAGACCGGTCGAGGCGAGCTGGAGCAGTTGTGAGGGGCGTAACTTGTCCTTCGCCAAAATGTCGCAGGTGACGCAAGCTGGAGCACACGTGAGGGGCGTGATTGGTCCTTCGCCAAAATCACACGGGCAGTTTGACGCGCGCTGGAGCAGTTGTGAGGGGCGTGACTGGACATTAGGCAAAATCACGCTGGTAACGCGAGTTGGAGCAGATGTGAGGGGCGTGATTGGTCCTTCGCCAAAATCACGCAGGAGTCTGACGTGAGTTGGAGCAGGTGTGAGGGGCGTGACTGGTCCTTGGCCAAAATCACGCTAGTAGTGTGAGAATTTGTATGTACGCAGTGAAGTCCGATCTGATCTAAGGATCAGATTCAGAAACCTTAAAAATGTACCTGATGAGTCAGGTTTTTTTTTTTTTTGGTATGACAAAACATAACATAATTGTCAGAAACCCAGCCACTAACCACTGGGTTAAAAGGGCTTGTTGAATAGCGGGTAAGTGCGCCCATAGCCCCCCAGGCTCTGCACCTGTGGCCCTTCCCCGAGGATCTCAAGGGCAACCCCAGCGGGTCACTCAACACCCCCCCCCCCGCTGGGATAGGTGGAAGACACGAGCGCCTCTACAGCGCTGGCACTGGGAGTTGAACCCAAGACCTTTGGCTCTGATACCATGTCAGAAATCCAGCCACTAACCACTGTGTTAAAAGGGCTTGTTGAATAGCGGGTAAGTGCGCCCATAGCCCCCCAGGCTCTGCACCTGTGGCCCTTCCCCGAGGATCTCAAGGGCAACCCCAGCGGGTCACTCAACAATAATGTGCTAGGTTCAAATCCTACCCACCCTAAAAAATCGCCCAAGGTTCAACCTGTCATCTCAGCTCTGAAAAAAACCAGTCCTGATTTTTCAGCCTTCGAAGATTTTTACCCTGAAAAAAATTGCAACTTCCAAAACCCGACCCTGAAAAACGGGGGCTCGTTCTGGAGGCACCCTGAGCCAACAGCCCCTCAAAATCCAATCTGAAGCCCTGCCCCAATCCCTTCGCAACCCTAACAATTTTCCACGCAATCTGAAGGTGCAACCCGTGGAACTTTCACAACTACAGAAGTGCAGGGCTGTCAGACTTATCACAACCACTTAATATCACCTTAGCCAAGTTGCGCACTGTCCCTCTAAGTTGTACGCATTTCTGTCGCGACTAAGGAAAGAGTCGAACTTGGTGTGGTGGTGAGGGACAGTAGCAGCAGCAAGCGTGTGTTCTGTATTCTTTTCCGTTGTTTCTTCAATTGATGTCCTTCCTGCTTGTACTCGAAGCGCCCACAGAAAATGGCAGCGTTGAAATCTCAGGGCTCACGGACAGAACACACCCTGAAAATCAGGCTTTCAGGGTGTTTTACCCTGATATCTGAGGGCCTGATGCATACAGTACGCTTTACAATGGGCACATGAGAGAATAAATATGCAAGATACGAGGTGGCTGCATGAGTAGACCTACCGGTACTACACATTCTGTATGACCAGTTGTAGAATTGAAGCTAAGATCATACCCTTTTCCAATCACGATGTATAGTTTTGTTCACCAGGGGTTGAGCTACAAAAAAGTATGTTTCTGATCAGCTGTGATCCCTTCGATTCCTTTCCTCCCTGAACCAGATCCCCTGGGTCCCTCCCTCCCTCCCTCCCACACTCGCAGCGGTATATTCCTCTGCATACCCCCCTGCTCATTGCCTTCCGCTCCAGGATTCGTTCAGGCGCGCATTCTGCTCGCCACCAGTCCGTTTTTCGTTTTTCGCGGATAGGAGACGCGACGTGTTTTTCGCCGCGTGGCCCGTCGGCTCGTCGCCATTGGATTCGGTGCTCCCTTTCTCCCCCTCCCCTGTTCTCCCTCTCTCTCTCTCTCTCGTTCCTCCTCCCTCTCTCATTCGCTTTCTTTCTCTCGCCATTTTTTGGGCCCTCTCGTCGAAGCGTCCTTCCTGTCGCCATACTTAATCGGCGCGCTTGCATCCATCTACCCGGTTATTATATTTTCTTATCTGTCCAGGCAACACCGTCCTGTCTCGTGCTTTCTCGTCGTTCTCGATCTATTATTTGCAGCGGGAAACCGTCGGTGCCCTTCGTGCTCCGCTTCCCGCCCACCCCGCTCCCCGCGTGCCCCGCTCCTTGCCCCGCTCCTTGCCCCGCTCCTTGCTCCGCTTCCCCGCTTCTAAGTCAACTCACTCTCTCCTCCGACCGCCTCTCACCTGTTTCTGCCATTCCCTTCTCCCCTCCCCCCTCCCCCCTCCGCCCTCCCTTCTCCCCCCTCCTCCCATCTGAACCCCCCGTTTCTCTCCTTCCCCATTTCTGTCGTTTTCCCTCGCGATCCGATCGTCACTTCCAGATCCGCTCGTCACTGCCAGATCAGATCGCATCCTGTAGGCGCATCTTCGCGCGATCCACGTGTCAGCGCCGCAATGGCTAAGTCCGCGGCTGCACCGCCACCCTCCAGCACTAGCACCAGCGGGAGTACCAGCACCAGCGCCAGCGCCAGCGCCAGCGGCGGCGGCGGCGGCGGGAGCGGAGGCGAGATGTCGACGATCGACGCGGTGGCGGCGGGGGCGGGAAGCTGCATCGGGCTGGCCGTTGGCTCCGCGATTAGCGGTGGTGCCATCGGCGGACTGTTCGGACTGGGTGAGCGCAGGCCGCCAATGGCGCAAGGCGGGTGGGGGGGAGCGGGGGGCTGGGAAGCGGAAAGGGAGGTGGGGGATGTGCAACGAGTGTTGGGTAGTTGGATGGTTGCGGGCTGGGAAGGCGAGGAGCGTGGGAAGCGAGGGGTGATTGATGGGAGGTCTGTAAGCAATGGCTTGAGTTGAGGGGTGTGGCATGCATGATCCACTCTCTCTCTTTCCCCCCCTCTTCCACCCCTTTCCCCCCCCTTCCTCCCCCCGCCCTCCTTCCTGTCGCTCTCTCTCACTCTCTCCCTCCTCCAATCACGCACATTCCTCCCCTTCCTTCTCCTTCCTTCCCTCCCTTCTCCCCTCCCTCTCTCCCTCCCTCCTTCCTCTCCTCCCTCCCTCCTCCTCCCGCTCCCTTGACCTCCTTATTGCAGCTTATGCTGGCCTTTCTAGTTCTCTTGTTCGCACTCACTCATTGATGCATGCACAAAGCCCCCCCCCCCCCCAAACCCATGCACTCACACCCCCCCCCCCCCCCCCCACACACACACCCACACACTCTCACACCGCCGTCCCATGCCCGCGCCCTCACCCACCGTTCTCTCCGCCTCTCCCCCCGCCCGTCTTCCCCCCCGCTCTCCCCCTCCCCTCTCCGCCCTCCCCGCTCCTCCAGTGTCGGGTTTGTTCCGCCGCGAGGGCTTTAAGAAGGCCATGTCCGAGGCTGGTGCTTCCGGCCGGGTGAGACGGAGGGAGGAGGGAGGGGAGAGGAGGAGGGGAGGGGTGCCTGGTAGTGTGCTGGGTTTGATGGGATGGGATGGGGTAGCGTGTGTGGGGTGGGGTGCGGTGGGGTGGGAAAGGTGAGGACGGATGGCCTTGGAAAGAAAGCACTAGCAGTGCTTATAGGGGCGCACCCTTTTTGTGTCCTGTGTTTCCTCTGCCGTACCCTTGACCTCCTCCTTCCTCCCCGCCTCCCCGCCTCCCCGCCTCCCCGCCTCCCCGCCTCCATCCATCCCAATCCATTCCTTTGCTGCCGGCACCCCTCTGCGTAGCCTTCTAGGCACGGAGCCACGTTTCAGATTCAGCAACACATAATGATTTCCCTTCCCACCCTTTTGTAACGCGCTCTGAACAGCATTTCCCTCATATTGCACCATCATTCCTCCCCCCGCCCACCCCCCGCACCCCACCTCCCCTCGTCCCCCTCTCCCCCCTCGCCCCCCCCTCCCCGATCCCACTCTTGTGACCCACTACAGACCTCTGCCGTTATGTCGGGACTGCGCTCGCTCTTCCCCGTGCCCACCAAAATACCTTTGAGGCGCCTCAGAACCCAAACGCAGATGACTTCTGTGCATGACAAAACGCACGTTGTAATTGCATCCCATCCTCTCCCATCACATCCCATCCCGTCCCATCCCATCCCATCCCATCCCATCCCATCCCCTCCCATCCCATCCCCTCCCATGCCATCCCGTGCTGGCGCCTCTCATTCCGCGCGGGCAGACCTTTGCCATCATGTCGGGGGTGCACTCGCTCGTCTCCGCATCCCTCAAGAAGATCCGCAACAAGGATGACGGTCAGTCTATTCTGTCCAGGCTCCTCACGAATATTCTTGAGGCGTCCATGCTTCTTAGGCGCGCCAATAATGAGGTGCACTAGCTCGTCTCAGATTCTCTCAACACGATTCGCCACAAGGATGATGGTGGGTGCCTGCCCCCACGCCTGCCTTCCTGCCCGCCTGCCTCCCCGCCCGCCCGCCCGCCCGCCTGCCTGTCTGTCTCGACTCTCTCGACTCTTGAGTTGACTCAAAGATGATGGCGGGTACCTGCCGCCGGCATGTCTCGTCTTCCATTTCTCTCGCGCCTTGCACTGCATCATCCCTACCCCCTGCTTTCTCGCTCCCTCGTTCACTCTTCCCCCCCCCCCCCCCCCCCCCCCCCCTTCCCTTCCCCTCTCCCCTCCCCTCCCTCTCCTTCCCCATTCTCTCTCGTTCTCTCCCTGTTGTTGGCAACTTCCCCCTTCGTTTCTTGCCTTACCCCTCCGAATCTTGGTGCGCACAGACACACCCCCGCTCCCTGTCCCTCTCCCCTTTTCTCCCTCCCTTCCCCCTCACCCCCCCCTTCACCCCTCTCTTCCTGCAGTGATCAACCAAGCCGTAGCTGGGTGCGCCACCGGCATTGCTCTTGGCTGGGGAGGTGAGGCCAGGGATGGGATGAGGTTGGGGTGAGAGGGATGGGGGGTGGGAAGGGTGGAGATGGCTGGGAATGGAGCTGAATGGTGACCAGGAGAACGGATTTTTGCGCGTGTGGTGAGGTGAATAGGGTGGAATCGGGCATTCTTATGAATTTGTTTTTGAGAATTCTAAAAAACAAAACACATCCATGTATTTCTCAGAAACGACTTCAACCCCCTAACAATCCCTTCTCCTGCACATTGGAAGGCAGTTTTTTGTATTTTTGTTTGTTTGTTTTGTTCTAATTTTCCCCGGCTTCTCCGTTGCTCATTTCTCATCACCACACATTGTCGATGTGCCGCCATGAGCAATGGAGGTTTCCTTGCCTGCATCGTGACAGTCCTTGCTTCATCACCCAGCCCTGCCTTTCGAGTCTACTCAGAGCCCAGATGACTTCTGAATCTGACTCAAAACCGAGCCCTTTCCTTCCTTCTCCGCCCCCTCTCTTTCCTCTACTTTTTAACTCTTCCCTCTCCTTCCAACCCCACCCCACCCTTCCCCACCCCTTGCACACCATCCATGCCTCCAGGCACGCCTGTGAGCATGCTGCAGAATTGTGCGGGCTTTGCCGTCTTTGCATTCATTTTTGAGGGCATGAACCCGCCGGCCCAGCCTGCAATAGCGGCAGAGATGCACCTGCTGGGACTGGGACTCCCCCCACACGAATGCAGCAGCGGCAGCAGCACCAGCAGCGGCTATTGCAGCAGTGGCAGCAAGCAGTGCGAGTGCAATGGCGACATTTGTGGCTCTTGCTCCTCCTCGTCCCCCTCCGCTTCCTTCTCCCGTTCCCTGGCTATTCCTGCTGACTGTGCTGCTGACGCCACATGCCGAAGCAATGCCAGCAGCAGCAGCAGCAGCAGCAGCAGCAGTACTGGTACTAAAAGTGTCTCGCCCGTGCACCGGCACGAGGCACGCAGGCCTTTCAACAGCAGCAGCAGCAGTGGCAGTGGCATCAGCGGTGGTTCCTCAGTGTTCTGCGCGACCCAACAGCTACCGACAGTCCTGCCGCTCTCGCTCTCGCTCCCACTTGCTGCTCAGTTCACCTTGGCCCCGTATCACGCCTGTCAAGACCGCCTCTGCTGCTGACTGACCCCCTCCCCCCTCTCCCCCCTCTCCACCATCCCCCCTGCAAGAGGCTAGAGGAAAGGTACTGGTAATTCAGTACCAACATGTTATCTGCAGCAGCGGCATTTGTGCTTGCCTTTTAACGCTGCTTAGAATCACAACCCTGGAGCCCAGGGTGGGTCATCTGATGTGATTTAGAATTGTTTTTGCTCCTGTTCCAGTGTCAGCGTTAGGGAAGCATGTGGAGATCTTTCTTCTGATATCATATGCCACTTCCCTGTCGTACATTGCTCAAATGGTGCTAGGAATACACCGCACTAAAAAAATGGAGCCCGGCCCTGCCCTGTGTCAAACATGTATATCTACTATGTTTGCATAGACTGAATAGAGCCTTGTCTTATATAGGGTACAACTCTTAGGTATATTCACATGTTCTCTCTCTTTTATTTTCATTCTTCTACTCTGATATGGTGTCACGCGTAGGTTTCGACCCCCCCCCCCCCCCCCCCCCCCCCCCCACTTATCGCTTCCACTCCTACCCTCGCTAGGCCCCGCCGCGCCCCTCCTGGGTCCTTCGTCTCTCGTAGCCCAGTCGCGCCTCCCTGGGCCCTACCGTGCCTCCTAGCTCAGACGCGCCCCTTCTGGGCCCAGTCGCTCCTCCTAGCCCAGCCGCGCCCCTCCTGGGCCCCGTCGCCCCTCCTCGCCCAGCCACGCCCCTCCTGGGCCCTATCGCGCCTAAGAGCCAGTCGCGCCCCTCCTGGGCCCGTCGCGCCTCCTAGCCCCGTCGCGCCCCTCCTGGGCCCTAGCGTGCCTCCTACTCCAGTCGCGCCCCTCCTGGCCCCTAACACTCTCCTAGCCCAGTCGCGCCCCCAGGGCCCCTAGCGCGCCTCCTAGCGCCCAGTCGCGCCCCTCCTGGGCCCCTA